TCATCAAGCATTTACTCGTAAAAAAAAGTCAGTTATTCTTGTATCCATTGTACTGTTACCTGACGCAGATTCCTGGTTACTTTCACATCATGCCAGGCATTGTCATTAAATTTCCCATTCACAGGTTCCACCAGTGCTTCAAAGGCCCCTGAGCCCAAATTAATGACCAAGGAGACAGCTCCATTTTTCAGTGCAAGATTGACATAATCAGCCGATTTTCCTGTGTGAAGCATCAGTCCATTCCTCTGAAGTGTTTTAAACGACAGAGTTATTTCATCACTGCTACTCTGTATGGGATTCTGAGATAAATCATAGCAGAAGTATTCTGATCCCTTGAATGTCGCAATATATTCTTCTTTTCCTGACAAGTGAAAGGAGAGAAACAAACAAATAAATCACTAGCAAATAATTAAAAGCAACTTGCATGAATTATTTTCATAGCTAATTCAACAGTATTACTGTAAGCACTGTATCAAAAAGTAATTAATTTAAAACACTTAAAATCCATGAAGAAAAGTGTTAACTATAAGATTTACTGTGAACATATTTTAAAATATTTTCTTCCAGAATATTCATGGATATGATTAAACTCAGAAAATATACTGTATCAGCAGTCGTGTTAATGTTACTTAAGCAATCTGATCTAGAAGATATCTAAGTACACAACATTTAAGGTGAATGTGCAAACCAAAGTGTTATCCCAGTCAAAACCCAGACCTTTTCTGAACTCTCACTAAAATCATGGTATCTCAAAAAGAATCAATAACCTAGATATCTTGAAGTGCTTTGGCCTAAGGCCTTGAATAAACCAAAACTACAAACCACTCATTTAAGAATCTACCTCATTCAAACCTGCACATAGCACCACACTGGAGAGAAAGTTAACATGCATCAGGAAACAAATAGGTTTTTTCTGAGATGTACTTTTACTAGCCAGTATGTGCTATACACGTTATTGTCGCAGTTTATCCTAAAGGTGACTAAGAAACACAAATAGCAGAGGCTAAGCCTTCAGTCTCATCATAGAAGTATAACATATATGGAGATTATGTTTTCCCCTGAATTCCTACAGATGAACACATATGCTGAGCTTTTACCACATGTACAGGGTTTAAAGCTATATGAAGTCAGAATTAATTTGTTTAGCTACTAGTAAGTGCTAGTAAAATGTCAAAGGAAAACTGTATATGTTGATGCAGTGTAAGGAGGAAGGTATGAAAACCTGCGGATATCAAATTTCATCGTTCTTGAGAATAAACTCAGTCTCCAGAACACAGCTGATACCATCAGAACAAAACCCAAACATATGTATAAATATATAGATAAGGGAAATAACAACAGTGTGAATTTAAAAGACACCAGTGAATGACAGAGCATGCAAAAAAGCAGATGTGAGAACACAGTCCCTGGGCATATGCATCTTCTGTTGTTCCATGTCATCTGCTTACAACCCCCTGCAGTAGTCTATATACATTAACACTGATGCTACTTGCAATGCTTCTCTTTAGCTAGTAGAGCATAGTAAGTTCAGATAGTACTGCAAAGTAACTTCAGATAGGACTCCAGGTAGCAATTGCATTTTAGCTTTTCTATGTAATTAGAATATTAAAAATTATTGGTCTGTATTTATTTTGAAGTGCTATCTCACAGATTTGATGCAGAATTCTTTGGAATTTTTTTGTGTGTGTGTGCAGCAGCAGCCAAATCATACTAGGATATTATATGAAAAAAACCACAAAGCAACTGTTTATCTAATATGCTCTGTATATAGCCCAAAGCAGGCCTCAACAGTATCTTGCCCCAAATGAAAGAAATCAGAGTTTGTAACAGGAAATCCACAGCTAGATTTCACAGCCTAAGCCTATTTTGTAAACAAACACTTAAAAATAAATAAATAAATAACCTCTCTGAGCACCCTGAAGGATGATTTCCCTGCTATCTGTTGATAACACCTCTCACGAAACACAAACAAAACCAAACAACAATCCTCAGTCTCCAGTTTCAGATTAAGCAAAATGTTCCTCTATTACAACAAGCAGTTGATCATACACATTCACAGACTGAATTGGCCATTCATCACACACAGTAAATACGCAGGAGGAGCTAGGTATCGTCATAACGTGCTACATCCTAACCTGACTTCCGCAGGGCTGTAGTATCTAGATAGCTGGTACCTCTATGGACAAACCCAGTCACCTCTCTGCGGAGGAACTCATGAAGAGAGAGCCAGGCTTATGAGTACAAGCAGTTGACATGGTGAGAAAAGCTCCAACATAACTGGTGTCTCACCCTCCCAGTTTCAGGAGAACAAAAGTCTTGGGGTTTTTTTGTTTTTTTTTTTTTTTTTTTTGGGGGGGGGGGTTGTTTGTTTGTTTTTTGTCGTAAGAAATTCCATTCTGGACAAAAATTATATTCTTAGAGGTGTTCTGACTAATACTTACTATGGAGAGAAAAGCAGTTAAAATAAGTCTGGTATTTTGTCACCAGACCATTTTTACCCAGCATACATTTTTGACAGTTAGGACAAATGTTACCCTTTGTTGAACTTGACTGAAATATAAGCTAGATTCCATGTGCCTGACTGAGGCCAAAAATTAGCCCACTCAATCTGTCCAAAAGTCTTTGGTTTTTACCTTTGACGTTACCAACAGTGTAGCAAGAAAATACCTATTTATCCTGCCTATAACCCTTCCCAGTCTATCAGGAACAGCAGGTCAAGAGACACTGCAGCTTCCACTAAGGACACACCAGGAATTGCTGTACCCATTCTCCAGGTCTTAAATGTTCCAGATCAGTCCCACATGCAGAACAACTCTACGCTGATAGCAATGTGTCCTAGACCCTGACATGTTTTGGTAGAGGAGGAAAATCTTGGCTCATTCTGCACAAAGAATTTACAAACAATGCATTTTCTGGGGTCGCAATGCACTAAGCAGCAGACTGCATGAATACAATGCATCTCACTTAATGAATATTTAATAAAAGCATAAAATGCTCAAGAGCAAATTTATTTGGTATGGATGCTTACTGCAAAGGCATACTAAACCAGCATGAATGACTGCAACGGACAGATGATAAAACTTAAATGCAGTAACTTAGTATGTGTAGTTTTGTCCCATGTATTTAATGACTGTAACAGAAAAAGCTGAAGGACATAAATGAATCAACATGCAAAATATTTATGTATACATATTATGCACTGTAAACGACTTCTGTAGAGCCAGATCATTTACACAGACATGAAAATGCATGGGAGTGTAAATGCATGCCAGGTACTACTTTTTTTTTTTTAATTATTCCTAAAGAAGGGCCTGAAGAAGCAAGCAGGAATATTCATTCAAGCAAAATTATAACCTTGGACTGTAAATAGAGCCACAATTTACATAAATTTGAAAAAGCCTTTAGGATTGTGTTGGGTTGACCTTGGCCAGCTGCCAGATGCCCACCCAGTCACTCTCTCACTCCTCCTCCTTAACAGGGCAGGGGAAGAAAATAAGATGAAAAAGTTCACGGGTCAACATACAGACAGGGAAGTCTCTTACCAACTACCATCACAAGCAAAAAAAAAAAAAAAAAAATAGTCAACTTGGGGAAAACTAATTTATTGCAATTAAAATAGTTTTGAGTGGTAGGAAAGCAAATTGAAAATACCTTCCCACCCCTACTTTTTCCTCAGGCTCAGCTTCATTCCTGTCACTCCTTCATTTCCAACTCCTCTACCTCTCCCCACCCTGAGCAGCAAAAGGGGATGGCAGCTGCCGCTCATCCTCCTCATGCTTTTCTCTCCCTCCAGCATGGGTCCTTCCCATGGCTGCAGTCCTTCAGGCTGAGCCTGCTCCTGTGTGGGCTCTCCACAGTCCACAGATCCTGCAGGAATTCTCCACCCATGGCATCCTCCATGGGCTGCAGTGGGAATACTTGCTCACCCATGGTGTCCACGGGCTGCAGGGAAATCTCTGCTCTGGCACTGCAGCACCTCCTTCCCCTCCTCCTTCTCTCACCTTGGTGCTCACAGGGATGTTTCTCAGACTTTTTTTTTTTCCCCCCTCACTCCTTGCTGGTTTTTTTATCATTTCTTACACACACTTTCCCAGAAGCAACCCACTCGTGGCTGAGGGGCTAACCTGTGCCTCACGGTGGGTCTGCTGGAACTGGCCATGTCCAGCACAGGGCAGCCCCAGCCTCTCCTCACAGAAGCCACCCCCAGCTCCCAACACCTCACCACAGACACCCAACATAAAAGCTAACATTTCTGTGTTTACCACTCCAGAACTGTAAGTATTCAAGGCTAAAACCTTTTGACTTAATTACATTTTCCTCTAGGGACAAAAAATAAAAGACTAAAAGGGCAACCCTACCCATCTTCACTGGAGAACAAAACAAAAAACTGAACAACAAAAACCAGCTTGAGTTGTCATTGGAAAGATGAAGTCAGATGTTTTCCAGTCACAGTGGTGCTATTTCACATGGATCCCACTGGATGCCCTTTGGGAAAACCAGTAATGACAAACTCTGAATTATTCTTCTGCAGCATCTTTAACCAATGCTATGCACCCTGCAGCATTCACTTTTAATTTTTTAACTCTTTCCCATTCCTTTTAGCTTCAATAATAAGGTCTGTGATACTCAGTAATATCACCAAAGAACTGTCACTAACCAATATGGTTAATGATCTTCATACTAGGTACCTAAACAAGTGTTAGATAAGCTGTAGTTCTTCCTTCCACATTACTGTACCATCACTCTGGCACAGGAGCCAATCAAAATCAACTCACATATGAAGTTTTCCCCAGTTGGCAGGGGGGAGAGATCCCATTTGGGGTATTTCTGGGAAGAATTTATGAATCTGGTGTTTCATTTAATCACTGATTTTGGCAATATAACTGTACAGAAAGCTTGAATCTGAAGTTTTGGGAGTTGAGTGATTTTAAGTTATGTTGAAGCATTCAATTTTTAAACAAATTACTTAGTTTGCATCAAACTAGCATTCATTTGCTTAAAATTTGACTTTGAACTGAAAATAAAAAGCCAAAACTGAGCATACCATTTTACTTCAGAAAAATACTGTGATTTAAAAACCTGAACACTGTGGGGAAAAAAACCCTTAATTTCATACCTTTCCTGCCAAACTAAATTTTTGGCTCACCTGCCAAACTGAAAACGTCCATTATTTGCTGTTTTGCACTGTAGGATTGAGTTTCACATATTCAGTCCTCAGAATTCATTGTAATGCTACGATACAGGCTGTGATTGCAATGGCACTGCATGCAAACCGGTACCAGGACTCCATTAGGGTAGGATAATAATGCATGAAAGTGCTGACACTTATCAGGTAGGTCACATCCATACTTCAGATAAC